GGGACCCCTGGTCCTCCGGGAAGTGTCCGACCGGGCGCGGCGGGAGCGGAGGAGCCGCGAGGGCAGAAGCGGGAGCTGCACGGAACCTGGGGACCCCAGTTAGGCGACGCCGCCCCGGCCTCAGGGAGAGGCTCGAGGGGCGGACTTTCCTCCTTTTCCAGGTCCCGCCGAGCGCCCTGCAGCCCTGTCTTCCTTTTCTAACCACACGCCCTCTTCATCCGCCTCTAAACGGAATTCAGGGATTCCTTTACTCCCCCCTTCCTTCCTCTCCACCCCCACTCTCAACTGGTTTCCTTCACAGGGTCTTCAAGTTCGTCTTCCTTACTTGGGATCTTTTTGTAAGTTTTTTGGTGGCTTTTTCTGAAATTTCAGTCTGACAAATGCAGAGATAAAATAACAGACAGCTCTTGTTCCCTTCTACCTTTTCTAATCATACTTCGCCTCACCTAGGCCCGACTGTTTATTTGGTGGGGGGGGGGCGGGACATGAAAAGTAGAAAACACTTCCCCTCTCTTTCTACCCGAGTGCCCCGCTCTGGAGCGCCTGTCTCCTCATATCCCTCTCCCCTTCTCCCCTCTTCTGTCTCTCACCTCTGCAGCCGTCCCTTCACCTCCCACCCCAGCACCTCCATACTCCATCCACCTTGCCCCAGCTCGGTCCTAGGGCAAGTCCTGTGATTTACAGAATAGGAATTGACAGGTGGGGTTGCAGCTACTACAGGAGAGGAGAGCGTCTCCCTGTGAGTTTGCTTCCCTGGCTGTCCCAGGACCCCACGACGGAAGCCTCGGCTCCGGAACGGCCTTTTCTCTGGCCAGAACACAGTAGCCAGGGACTCTCTGTCTTTGAGCCCCTCTGACGTTTCTACAGTCTATTTCTCTTTTTCATCACCACCCCTCTTTAAAGACAAGGGTGAGGTTTGTTTACCGCCCCCCCCACCATTGGTTTTTTTTTTGTTTGTTTGTTTTGGTTTTGATCTTTGACATTTGACATCCTCTATCACCTTCTAACGGTGGATCTCTGAGGGGCTGTTAGGAGGTGAAAGGTCCAAGACCGCGGTGGAGCTGAAATAGGCAAAGAACTTTTTGTTCCACATGTACCTTTTCTTTTTCTCTTCTTTTATGGGAATTGGCTTCTCTCCCTTGTTCAGGTTGAGGGATGGGGTTTCCTGTTCAAGAAAAAGAATTCATAATTAAATATGAAAATATCTAGAATGAGTAAAGAAATCACAACAAATTATGAGCCTTGGAGATTTAATCCCCTCCTTCAGAGATTTCTCTAGGCAGTTTGCCAGAAATGCGTACTTAGAAATGCTTCCTGATTGTAGGAACTGTGCAAGTCAGGAACCCGGACCCTTAAGCTTCATTAGCTTTATGGTACAAATAGCTTTAGTCTCCTGATTCTGAGAAAAGTTTTAAGACTGAATTTGAAGGGAAGTATGATAGGCCTGGGTGGAAAATGTTGCAGTCTCCAAACTGGCAGGAAATAAAACTCTGCCTGAGATGAAGAAAGCACTGTTCAGCGAATCTGTGGTGGCTGGTCATTCCTGCTCTGCTCACCTCCTTAAAATAGAACATCCACCTGAATTATCAGTGCCTTCACTTTCCAGCTGTAAAAGCCCTTGACCTAGGAATGTGGGCTTCTACAACCACTGCTGTTGTTCCCAGCAGTTATTGCTGTGTTGAACAAAGCTCATGCCCAGAAGGTACCCTGGAAATACTGTCATTGTTGTGCCATTAGTGATCACTCAGCATTCACTCAGAAATGTCGTGTGAGCCCACTCTATGTTAGACAAGGCCCTGTGGAGCCTCTCAATCTGTTGGGTAGAAGTAGACAATTCCGAATAAATAGAGCCTAAGGCATAGTATCTTGGGTTACGTGAGAGAAGTCTGTTGCATGTCCTATGGGAAAGTAAAGGGATGATGTATTTCCAGTGGAGGAAATGAAAAGGCTTCTTGGAAGTAGTGATGTTTTATATGAGATTGAAGTTAAGTAAGAGAATAATTGTAATCCGCGCAGAAAGCAGAAGGGGCCTCGTGAGCAGAACTGCTGGTTGTCTCTCGTGCATACCAGGAAGTCACCAACCAGCTTCCATGATGCTCCTCTGAGGGCTGTTGTGTCTATTTTAAATTTCCCCCCTCACCTCTAGTATAATGAGCCACAACACAGACACATTCACATGTTAAAAAAGGGGGGGGGTAGTTAAAAGGAAGGTTTCCTAACATGTTTTGATATGATGAAGATTTTTGCAGAGGGTTTGCACTTTTTTCTTTATTATTACTCTGATGAACAAAAGAGCCATTTGATGATACTGCCTCCTTAGTATAAAAATTGTTCCTTTTTCTTAAAAAACATTCCAGTATTTGTCACTGAGAAAGTTTTCAAATACAGTATTGTTCATTTTTAAGGAAGAAGATGGAAAATATTTCGAAAAGTATTAAGGGATGGAGGAAGTTGATGTTGAAGGATTATTCAAACAGAGCCTCGCATAATTTTACTTATTTATCTAATATTCATTAAGCACTAAAATGATGACAGATTTTTGTACACTGTGAGTTTTGACAAATGTATACACCTATGTAGTCACCATAATCAAGATATAGAACATTTCTGTTACTCCAAAAAGTTCTCTCATGCTCATTTGGAGCTCCCCCCGACCTCCCACACCACAACCTCTGCCATTTTTACTAAAGATTAGGTTCATCTTTTCTAGAATTTCATGTAAAAGAAATCATACAGCGTATATTCTTTTGTGCCAGATTCCTTTCATTTAGCACGATGTTTTTGAGATTCGCGCATGGTTTTTGCTGTGTCTGGAATATTTATTGTTAAGTAGTATTCCATTGTAAGGCTATATCACAATTTGTTTATTCAATTATTTGTTGATGGACATTTGGGTTGTTTCCTGTTTTTGACTATCATGAAAAAAGTTGCTATGTACATTTGTGTTCAAGTTCCTGGATTAATGTATTTTTCATTTCTTTTGAGTATATAAAAGAGTAGAATTGCTGAGTTGTGTGGTAAATGTATGTTCAGTTGTATCAGAAACTGCCAGGCTGTTTTCCAGAGTGTAGCAGCAATGTGTGAGTTTTAGTTGCTCTACATCCTTCCTACCTCAAATTTGGTATTTCAGTCTAACTAAAATGAAGAATTCTAGTAGGTAGATAGTGGTATTTCATTGTGGCTTAAATTTGCATTTTCCTGACACTAATGATGTTGAGCCCTATTTCATGTGCTTATTGCCCAGTTGTGATCTGTTTTGAAGTGTGTGTTCAAATCTTTTACATATTAATTTATTGTGTTGTTTGTTTTATTACTGAGTTTTAAGAGTTATTGATGTAATTTGAATACAAGTCCTTTTTCAGATATTTTCTCCCAATTTGTGGGCTTGTATTTCATTTCTTAACAGTTGTCTTTCAAAGAGCAGAATTATTAAATTTTGATGAAGTCTAGTTTACCGATTTTTTAAAATGGTTCTTGCTTTTTAGGTCTGAGAAATTGTTCCCTAGATTTTCTCCCAAGATTTCTTTCAGAGCAGGCGTCCTCAAACATACTCTTAAAGGACCAGATCATAAATATTTTAGGCTTACAGGCTAAAGTACCTCAACGACTCAACTCTGCTGTTGTAGAGCAAAAACAGGTATTGACAATACATAAACAGTCGGGCATGGCTGTGTTCTCCCAGAACTTTTATTCAGAAAAACAGGCAGCCGCCTCTTCTGATTCCAGAATTTAAAAGACTGGTAGTTTTAGGTCTGTAATACATGTTGAGTTAATTTTAGGATATGCTGTAAAGTAAGGATCTAGGATCATTTTTTTTCTTATATGGATATCAAGATATTTCAGCACCATTTATTGAAAAGACTGTCTTTCCTCCTATTGAATTACTCTGGCACCTCTAGAAAATCAACAGATTATATATGTGGGTCTATTTCTAGACTCTGTACTGTTGGTCTGTGTCTCTCTTTATACCAATGTCACACTATCTTGACTACTGCAGCTCTATAGTAAATCTTAAAATCAGGCAGTGTGAGTCTTACAACTTTGTTCTTTTTCAAAAAAATTTTGGCTGTTCAGATCTTTTACATATTTACATACTCTTTAGACTCAGCCTGTCAATTTCTACAAAAAAGCCAGGAGGGATTTTGTTTGGGATTGCTTGAAACTATAGATCACTTTGAGGGAAATTTAAGTCTTAACAGTATTGAGTCTTCCAATTCATGAACTTGATATACTTATAAATTTATTCAGTTCTTTAATTTCTTGCACTAGTGTTTTATAATTTTAAATTTAGGCTTTTGCACACGTTCTGTTAAATTTAGTCCTAAAAATATCTTGGGTTTTTTTTTGATGTTATGATAATTGGTACTAGTTTCTAAAATGTCATTTTCCAATTGTTTGTTCCTAGTATATAGAAATTAAATTGATTATAGTACAGTGATCTTACATTCTGTGGCTTTGCTATATTTATTTATTAGTTGTAACAGCTTATAGGTTTCTTAGGATTTTTGAGGTACAGAAACATGTCAACTTGGAATAAAGTGTTTTACTTATTTTTCTCAGTCTGAATGTGTTTTATTTCTTTCTCTTGTTCTATTATACTGGCGAAGACCTTCAATAACAATATTGATCCTGATCTTAAGGGGAAAATACTGTCTTTCATCATTGACTTTGATGTTAGCTATAGCTTTTTTTGTAGATGACTTTTATCAAGTTGAAGATACTCTTTTCTACTCCTACTTTGCTGACTGCTTTAATCATGAAAGGTTGCAGAATTTTGTCAGATACTTTTTCTCCATCTATTGAGATGATCACATGATTTTTCTCTATTGAATATTAAACTAAGCTTGATTCTTGGGACAAACCTTTCTTGGTCCTAATGTATTATTGTTTTTATACATTGTTCAATTTGACTTGCTAATACTGTGTTAAGAAATTTGAACTGTAATTTTCTTGTAATATCTTTTTCTGGTTTTGGTATCAGGGTAATGTCAACCTCATAAAATTAGTTGGGAAGTTTTCCTTCCTCCTATTTTCTGAAAGTTTTTGTAGGACTGTTTCATCTGATTCAATAGATTTCATTAGTGAGGCCATCTGATCTGAATCTGCAGTTTTTTTTGTGAGACATTTTGAATTATGAATCCAATTTCTTTACTACATAAAAGGCTATTCAGATTTTCTATTTCTTGTATTAGGTTTGGTTATTTTTGTCTTTCAAAAAAGGTTCCATTTCATAATGTGTTGTTGAATTTTTTGGCAAAGTTGTTTGTAACATTTCCTTGTTTCCCTTTTAATGATCTGTAGGGTCTGTACTGTTGTCCCTTCTTTCATTCATGATACTAGTAATTTGTGTTTTCTCACTTTATTTTGATCAGTTCAATGAGATATTTATTAATTTAATTGATCTTTTCAAAGAACTGACTTTTAGTTACATTGATTTTTCTTTGTTACCTGTTTTCTATATCATTGATTTTTTCACTTACCATTATTTCTTTCCATTTACTTATTTTGTGTTTCATTTGCTCTTCACTTTCTAGCTTCTTAAAGTGGAAGCTTAAATAATAGATTTTGGACCTTCTGTTCTTTTTAATAAAGCATCTAAACCTGTATAATTCTCTAACGACTTCTTTTACTATGTAACTTACACATTTTGAGATACTGTGTTTTCGTTTTTAATCAGTTCAAAATATTTTCAAATTTGCCTTGTGAAAATTTGACCAGTGAATTATTTAAAAATATATTTTCTTATTTCCAAATAGTTGGGGATTTCCCAATTATCCTACTGTTATTCCATATTTAATTTTTTGGGGTCAGAGAACATACACTGTATGACTTCAGTTCTCTTAAATTTATTGGAACTTGTTGTATGATCCTATATATGGGCTATCTTAGTGAATATTTTATGTGTATTTGAAAACAGTGTATATTCTGTTGTTGGGTAGTATTTTCTATAAATGTCTATCAGGTCAAGTTAGTTGATAGTATTGTTCAAATTTGCTATATCCTTCAGATTTTCTGTTATTTGTTCTATAACTAAATGAGAGAGTAGTTTTGAAATCTTAACTGTCATTGAGATTTGTCTATTTTCCCTTATATTTCTGTCAGGTTTTACCTCATATGTTTTGGAGCTCTATTTTTAGGTGCATACACTTTTAAGATCATATCTTTATGATGGATTAACTCTGATCATTATAAAATGTTACTTTTTATCCTTGGTAAAACTCCTTGTCTGATATAATAGAGCTATTTCTGCTTTTCTATGATTAGTATTTGCATGGTATATCTTTTACTGTTGTTTTGCTTTCAATCTCTCTGTGTCTTTGTATTTCAAGTCTGTTACTTACAGACAGTATGTAGCTGAGTCTTTTTTATCTGATTTGACAATCTCTGCCTTTTTATAGGGGTGTTTAGAGTATTTATATTTAGTGTAATTACTGATGTGATTGGGTTTAAGTCTATCATCTTGCTGTTTGTCTTTAATTTGTTTTATCTGTTCCTTATTTTTTTCTTCTTGTTCTGCTTTCTTTTGGATTCATTAATTTTTTGAAATTCCATTTATGTCCACTATTGGCTAATTAACTCTACCTCTGAAGATTTTAAAACACATTTTAACTTGATATAGCTTCAAATATTATGCTATTTCACATATAATGTAAGAAGCTTACTTGCATTTCCCTCCTCCCTTACTTTTTGCTGTTATTATACATTGTACTTCTGTATACGTTGTAAATGCCACTGTATACATTGTAAATGCCACACACACTGCTATTTCATTTTAAATATCAGGTTTTTTTTTTTAAAGAAATGTACAAATTGAGGCTGATTTTGTGGCTTCGTTGGGGTGAGTCTAGAACACTACTTTATGAGAGCTGGGTCAGGTATACTACTAACACATGCCCTTCTGGGATCTCTCGTTGAGTATTCAACAGGTCTCTACTCTGGCTGATGAAAACTCAAAGGTCTCCCAACCCTGTGGGAGCCCTGGGAATTGTTCAGCCACAACCTTTGGAAATTCTTTGCCCATCCTTGTGGAGTTGCCCCCTGTTCACACTCTGCTTTGTATTCAGCAGGAAAATTAAGAAATTGCCTGTGCAAATTTCTGGAGCTCTTCCTTTGCCTACATTCTTCCTCTCTGGTACTCTGTCCTGCAGATTCCAGCTGCCCCAGTCTCCCTGAATTATGATCTCTTTCTCCTCAACTTAACAGGACTACCACTTTCTGTTTGGCTTCCCCCTTCCTGTGCCAAGGTCTAGAATGTGCCTCTAGGTAGAAAGTTGGGGTGATTGTAGGGATCACCTCATATGTTGGTTATTCCATCTCTCCATGATCAGGGTCCTATGCTGTTTCTAGTCTAATGTCTGAAAACAATATAGTGGAAGTCTGGTCTCATTTATTCCTGCACTTGATCTATTTAAAATATTAAATCCTTTTTAATCTAGAGATTTTCTTTCCATCGTTTTCTATGCAATTTATTTAAGAAACTGTTGTGTGCTGTATAAAATGACCTAGAGTCTAGATTTTGCTGGGTGCATCCTGTGATGTAATTTAACATGTTCCCCTGTCTTCTGTATTGCTTATAAAGTGGTCATTGGACCTAGAGCAGGGTTTCTCATCCTTGACAGTATGGACCGTTGGGGGCTGGGTAATTCTCAGTTAGGGGTGGAGGGGAGAGGGTTGGGGTGCTCTCCTGTGCAAGTGGGATGTTTAGCAGCATCCCTAGCCACTACCCACTAGGTGTCAGTACAACACCCTCCCAAGTTGTGACAACCAAAGATGTCTCCAGACATTGTAAAATGTTTTTAGAATCATTATGAAAAGTAGGGTATCTAAACTACAGAATCAACTTGAGGAATATGAAGATACTCACCTAGCAAAAATAATAATACTAACTATGTTAACACTGAAGAGAACACAGGAAAAAGATTTTAATAATTTGTAAGTTGAAGCTTTACAGAAAGACTGAAGAGCAACATTACAGAGGGTGTGAATTTCTGTTTTAGAAGGGAAAAATAGACAATAATAATGTAAAATGGTACAAACACAAATAGTTTCTCTTCACTTATGTTAATTCCGTAAATATTTTTCGGCAACTTTTTGAACATTTTAAGATGTTGGACTTCTACAATACATATACAGATGCTTTTACTTTTTCTTTTTTTTTTTGTTTTTAACCCTTTACTGTTTAATTAAAAATCAAGAATTTTGGGCTTACAGAAAGATATTGTTGCAATAGTGTACTTTTTACACTTGAAACTTACTTATGTGATATAAATTTTCTTTAAACATGGTGCCAGTTAGGGGATTAATGAAATAACCCTTTTAATTTGAAAGTGAACTACTATTTTTGCTGATGTTTCAAACTTTCATATTCCTACTTAATAAGGAAAAACAGTGGAGAAAATGACAGACAATATATTTGATAAAAAGATTTAAAAGGAGGATTAGGATTGAAAGACTCCTCAAAATTTCCCTCAGATAGCCTGCCTTATAACCATCTAATACTCATTGAAGACCCACTGTGTGTCGGTTCTATAAACAATAATTGGCTCTTTTGAGATGGTTTATGGATAAACCTGATGGGAAGGGTCTTGAGATTAACCTAAAGTAAAGCCAAGGGGCAGACTTTCTTCCCTTGAGCTCCCTGAGGGTTGCTCTGGCTTTACCTTCCATGGCCTTTAGAATCCTTTCCTCTCTCCCCCATTGATGTCCTTCAGTTTAGTCATCAGTGGTTTCCATGGTGAGTGTCCACTGTGCATTTCTCCTCCAGTAGGGTTTGAAGGAACATGTGGCTGTTAGGTGAACCTAGCATTTCTAGTGCTTCTGATCTGGGCACAGTTAATGTTTAAAGTTTAATAGGTAAGTTTTAAAAACTTAAGTCTGCAAAATAAGAGTGGAGGCCAGGAAGTCAAGGAGCGTGGGTTCTCGTATTTATCTTTTGTAGGGGCCTCACTGGTTTCACTTACCCAGAATTATTTGTGTGTGAGAGGTGTCGCTCTTCCCTTTCTCTGTCAGTGGGTGGTCTCCCTATTTCTTTCTCTTTATCATCTCTCTTATCTTCCCTTTTCTGACTCCATCTTATTTTTTCTTTCTCTGCCTCCTCTTGTCTCTGCATCTTTCTTGATCTTCTTTCCCTCTCTGTCTTTCTCTCCTCTACACAGTTGTTTCTCACCCTCTCACATCTCATGGATTTTTCCTCTCGCTCCCTCCCTGGCACTCCTTTTTGTCTCTGTCACCTCACCACTTCTACCACAGATACCCTTTCTCCCCATGAGGACCTTGTTCAAGACATTGTCAGTTCAACTTTAATAAGGAACTCAATCCTCTTTATTAAGAAAATGGTGATAATGGAATAAGGTAGTACAAAATAATTAATATATTTGAAAATAGAATACAAGGGGGTATTTGAGGTTGAGTGACTTTCTTACATTTCTTTCCCAAAACCTTGCGTATGATTTAATAATTGTGCTAATTCAGTCCCCTTTTGTTTAGGGACCCCTGACCTCCCATTAGTTTGTTTCACTTCAGGGCATCATTAGTTTTTACGGTGAGAGTCTGTGGTGCATTGCTCTTTTTAAGTGTGGTTAGAAGGAAATTTCAGTTGAGGTTTCCAGAGTATCTTTAGCATGTCCTTGGTACGGCTGTGTTTGGGGTTTGAAGGGGTAAATTTGTGTAAGCTGAGTCTGAAAAATCCATATGGAGCGAAAGTAACTAAAAAGCTGAACATTTTTATATTTATCTTTTCCAGGCAGCACCTGAAGGGCCAAATTCGCTTCATTTCTCTAACATTGTTTTCACTGGAAGGGGTCAAAGATGTGAGAGATTTTCCTCTTCCCTTTCCAACGAGTATTTTCTCCCTCTCCTGTCACTTGGCTCTATCATAGTCACTTCCTTTTTCTGTCTCTCCTTTCTCTTTTGTCTCAGTATTTTGTCTTTCTGCCTTCACCTGTTGCTGCTTTCCTTGGCTTTGCCCCCCCCCCCGTGCCTGCAGCCCCCGTTTCTTCCTGCCCCTCGTCCTCACGTGGCCTGTGTTTCCCCTGCTTTCGCCTGTAGGCAGTGCGCCCTGCCTGCACCACCACCCCAGCACCCTCCTCCTGTGCCCTGTTCCTCCACCAGTTCTTTCTGACTGTCCCAGCACTGAGGAACGGGCGTGGCTTGTTCTCGTGAGGAGTATGATATGGGAGCTTATGTACTTTCGGCCCCTGCTGGTTTTCCTTAATTATTCCGTCTTTTCCATACCCTTTTCTCATTCCGAGCGACTCTGAGAGAGCAGCTGAAGTAGCACGGGTCTAAGTGGAAACTGCTACCCCGTGCAGGGGGCGGGGGAGTGCGCTGGCTCTGAGGTAGTTCGTTCTGGAAAGGAGCCAGGCCTGTGCTCCGCTTCACCTGAGTGGGGGCCTGTTTTTGTTTCTGTTTCCTTAAAGGAGTTGGAGAGGAACAAGGTGGTCCAAAGAAGTACCTCATGAGAAACGTAGGTTGCTCATCCGGTAAACTCCTGTTTGCCAGGTCTGGTCAGCAGGTGACTTAGGACGGTCCCTCCGCCTGGCCTGCCGCAAGCCGCGCGGGGCGGCCAGCACGGCCGCGACGCCCCGGACAGTCTGCGGGCTGAGGCA